CTGACACTGCGTTCGCTATGGGTCTCATTACATCTGCACTTCAATGGATCTTTGTCATGCTCTCCTGGATTCTCACCTCATACCTTGGACGCCGCACCATCTACGTATGGGGTTCGCTCATCAATGTGGGCTTCTTGATCGCTCTTGGCATCGCTGGATCTGTTGGCAGCTCGGACGCAGCGTCCCTTGCGCAAGCTTCCCTTGGTCTCATCGTCTCAGTACTTTTCACGTTGGGTCCTGCGCCCGCTTCCTGGGTCATCATTGGAGAAACGTCCGCCATTCGTCTCCGTCCTCTAACGACCGGTGTTGGACGTGGTTGCTACTACGTTGTTAACATTCCTTGCATTTTCCTCGCAAGTTACATGCTCAACCCTAACGTAAGACCCTTTGTTTGAACTCACTAATGATCAATTGCTGACAATGAACAGGAGGCCAATCTTGGTGGCAAGTGCGGTTACGTTTGGGGCGGAACTGGTTTCGTCTGCTTCCTCCTAGCCTACTTCTTCCTGCCCGAAATGAAGAATCGATCTTACCGCGAGATCGATATTCTGTTCAAGCGCAAGGTCCCTGCTCGCCAATGGACCAAGACTGTCGTCGAGTTGGATGCCGACGAATAGATGGAAATCTCCTTCACAGGCTCAGGAAGCTAGGAAAATAGAAGCATCGTCGCATGCTCTTTGCTGTGTTAGATGCGAGAAGAAGTAGTCGTGGGGTTATCTATACCCTTGTAAATACCTTGGTGACAAAACCAGACTGCTAATGAAACTCCACAACTTCATGACAATTGTTCAACATGGTAAAGTTATTTGTTGACGAGCTCAAGTGTTCAAGAGCGTCGATGAGGGTAGTGATGACCACGCTATGAGTGTTTTTCTGCACATCAGTCTACATTGTTCTAGAGGTCTCACTGTAAGAGGTAAGCGACAAGCGACATCTTACTACAGTGAATAGCGCTACCGTCCCCCACATGCCACACATGTGGAGCTCTTTCATTGTAATACATAGCCACCCATGTCATTTCTTAGCGCTGTTCGTGTTACATGTACAAAACGTTGTTATCAACGATTTGGTTGCTGGGGTCCGCCGCCAATTGAAAACGGCATAGTATTTAGAGAGCTATGCACAATGACTGCCAACTCCATCACCCTCAGATTATTCGCACGTTGTTTTCCAATCTCACAAGGTTATCCCTGGGGGCTGAACCACAGCCGATCCGCCTGAAAGCGCCGTCTTTGCCAGTGGGAGATACAATCATAACAAGACAATGATCACCTTGAAAACCAGGAATGAATTGTGCGCTGATCTTCGCCAAAATAACACAATAAATGTTGTCCAAATTGGGTATCCTCTCGGCGTCAAACACGATATATCCAATGATTTTCCCAGTTGTGCCTCGAAGTGCATGACGAAACTCGGGTGCGAGACCAGCGTAATCGTTCCTGTCTCGCCAATGGATTGTGCAGTCTACAAGCACAGCCAGATCTGCGCTGAGCTCAGTCTTGGACCCTTTGCGAAACGATACGTTGGTGTTGACGTTCATTCCCGCAAGACCTTGATAGCCTTCTCGGCAGCTCTGTTTCCAGTATTGCCAGAATGATTCGTACTCAGCATTACCAACACTGAATAGGTGGAACCATTTTTGAATGGTTACAGCCCCAGGGCATGCCATCCATGACCATGACGGAACGGTATCGCTCCATGAGAGGTCTGCAGGCTTGTGTCCTGATGGGTACCAAAGCAAGGTATGATGGAGACTGCTCTCGAGGACGCCGAATCTGCTCTCACAATGGAATGCATCTGTCAAGCGTTGTTCCAATCCCGCTATTGCGATCGGTCGATCGTGGGCGAACGTGAGTTGGCGTTTAGAATATTCCTCAATCAGAAATATCACACCATACTCAAAAGCCAAAGTTGGCGAGTTCGAGGATTGACAGAGAAGTCTGGCGGGATACTCGGGGTCCATGGTGAAGTATTTGTCAGCATTGAGACTACGACAATGTATTAGCGAGCCGTCAGCAACAAAGTTCTTACGTTCTTACCCTTTCAGCTTGGTTAGGTTCTCACAGTAGATACCCTCGCCACACTCCCAGTACATTTGATTGGCGCTGAAGTGTATCGTTCGTCGCGATAGGACGGATTCTTGAAAGACCCACGCACGGCTGTTCAAAGGCGCTTTGACTACTTCGCAGTCGAAGTCGTCGATATCCGTGCTGAGAAAGAATTGTTTCTCGGCATTATCATGTACACAAACATACTCAGTCAAAGTTTGCCTGTCTAGGAAGCCAGAATGCGAGTTCTTGGCTGCAGTCGCGGCGATCGTGCAGTAAGCTCCCGAATACACATCTTTCATCCGAGCGGCTTCTCGGTCCCAGTCTGCCTTGTTATCCCCATATTGAATGATACAAATAGAGTCTATCCAGAGATAAGGGATTCCCACAGCTCTGGTGACCCTGACCGCATCTTGAAAGGTTTTGGGCAGCTCAGAGACATGGAACATATGACGCCTTCGAGGTAGGTTCTCGGTGCTTGTACAGAACGTACTTTGGTCTGCTTTGGAGAGATCACCCCAACAATGTGACAATGCAATGAACGCATTGCTCTTTCTTTCCGAAGCGTCGATCAACCGCAGCCATCCTGGACCTGACATTGCATCGCTCTCGCCGCTCACATCGATTATTCTTGTAGGGAAACTCGTTTGTGAGATGGTTCTTTTGTTGCACGTGTGGGACTCGTCGCACTGACGAAGCCATGCTCGGAGCAAATGGAAGCGCGCAATTCGATCGCGGTCCGCCAGGATCGGATGGCCAGTAGCTACTCTGTGCCGCCTAGGCCCAGCAAAATCTGAGGGACACCATATTCTCAGTCCTTGAATATTGTGTATATTTAAATTCCGACAAGAGAGTGGATGGACTTACCTGGTGTCGCACTCAGACGCAATATACGACGTCCCCCGGGTTCTGCTCTGAGTGCCGAATTGGAGTAGAACAGCCGGATAGTTCCATCTTGATTCGCCGTCTTCACGAAGGCTCTGAGTATCAGTTGACAGATCCTACATCCCTGGGCGACTCCAATGAGTTCGGCTAATTGTACGACGACCGGTTCGTCTCCACGACTCCTCATTAAAATATTTCTACAGAAAGGGCAGATTTGGGAGGCTGGTGCTGTTATACGCGCCGGTAACGTCGTACAATAATATCGAGCAAAAGCATTGTCGTGACTGATACGCCAATCGTTGTATCGCTCGTTTTGAGGAATCTTAAGGAGAGTAGCACGGTTAGTATCATGAGTCTTTTACGGCAGCACTACAATTATCCCACTTACCCGTAACAGATGATCGATTTGATGGGACTAATACAGTATGAGCCTGTGGTTCATGTTTGCTTTCCAGATTGTTCTCAAACTGCTCACCGTTTTGAAAAGCATCTTATCCAACTAACGTGGCGTGTTAATGTAAAAGTAACGGCACATACTAGGAGAGCTGAAGACCAACTCACAAGTCCTGCCTTAGGCAATTGTGTCAATAGCGACGCCTGCTGCTCCGCCAGCGCTTGCTGTTCCGTCTGCGCTAGCCCATTCCTAAGATTATCTCCCTGTTGGATGTCGTATCTGAGCTGTCTCAGGGTCATGCCCGTATCAATTAGTATGCTTCTCATGTCTTTCCCAACCTCTTGTCCGAAGATTCTCCCGCCTTGAATAAGATCCTTGCTAATTTCGAGTAATGTTTTTGGAGTCGCCACATCGTTTGGGTATTTTTCGTTAATGGACTGTGACCAAGCTTTTAAAGGATCATGTTCTTGAACTGCAGTGAGGTTTGTATGGCTCTTAATCCAATCAGATTCTCTGACGAACGTAAAATCATCCGCCAAACTTCCGGAACTTGAAGCTTGCATGGTGTCTTGCCTCAGAGGGTGGAAGCGTCCCGAGATGCGAAGTCGGCAATGGTCGGCATGAAACTTGGAGAATATGAGAACTCCCTCTTCTGGACTCAAAAGATTGACCTTTGATGATAAGGGGTTGCCTTTGTCTGTTCGCATGTCGATGTGTCAGCCTTGCCATGACTTCGATGCCACCCTGCTGAAGCAATAACACGAACCTTGAGAATTGCAATTTTGACAGAGAGCAATGGGTAGCCTACAAGACGACCCCGAATATTGGGGAAAAGAGACGATGGACCTGATGCTTATGTACCTATGGTAGGTCCGGTGAAAAGGCCCCCATCGCCAAGCTTGTGGCGTATTGTGATGCTGCAAGTGGTCTTAGCCTTGCAGTCGAACTTCGCATGTGCGCAACATGATGCGAGGGCGCTTAATTATTGCGTCTCCTGCCCATGTGTGTACGGAAGTATGTCATCCCATTGGGGCGCACTTTCCAGACTTGTAGCGCCAGTCACCCTCCTCCGCGCACCTGGGTATTATTACACGGACGAATTCGCAAATAAGAATGCAGTCAACGAAATCGGTACGCTCTTGAGCCGTAGCTACAGTAAAGCGGTGGTTGCTTATAGAAAGCAATTAGCAAAGGTGGTGCTCAGGCACAAGAAAGTGACTTGAGCCAGGGGGAGGCAGGGTGCCTGTGATGTGTGTCTTCTGTTTGCTTGACATGTAATCTTCTATATCTCGAAGCAAAGGTAGACAGGAAAACCGAGGAATAGCTTGCTAAATGTCTAAGCACTTTACTTGCTCTACCTTCGAATTATCTAAGATGGCCAATCAGCCTTAGGTGTGGTAGTGGGGCATGTTAGCGCACAGACCGCAGTTCGCGTGCAGAAATACATGACTGCCATCTCTACCTATCATATTGCATTAGAATTATGTGTTGAGAAAGAAAAATCTATAAGAAGATGGGCCTCTAGTTGCATATTTGACTGCCTCTGGTACAAAAAGAAGGCACCATCTGACGGGGTCGTGCCAGGCGACAAAAAAGTAACACCGCTGGGGTGTTGCAGAATTGCTGGATCAGCCCGACGTGGGGCTCTGATTGATTGTTAGTATTTGATCTTTTGGATTCGAATGAGGAGAGTACTAACCGAACCCACAACCTTGAGATTAAGAGTCTCACGCGCTACCGATTGTGCCAGCCGGGCTTGCTGTTGCTTTGATGAATGAATGGTAAAATGTATATCTCATAAACTGATTCCAAATCGCTACTCTCTACCTTTGACGTCAAATGCTTACTCAGTTCTCATGATATACCATTTTCTTGCGAGAATTTGGGTGGTACCATATCGGGCAATCAGCGTTAGCGCATCAAAGTTTTCCCTCTAGAACTCCAGCACCGATAACTGCAGCTTCTATCCAGGACCTTGTTATGCAAGGCCTCTCTCAATCGAATAATGTCATCGCGCAGACAAAGGTCTCAAGCTATATCATCTACGTGCAAAAGATATCACAGAAACTTGGCATCTTCGATTCTCTCTCCTAGAAACCCTACCATCACACCAATGTCAACGTGTGTGGCGAAGCATGATTAACCTATGCCTAGGCAAATCTCCCGTCCACAAAATTCTTCTATGCAGGCCGCTTACCGGGTCCGTCGCCGTATTTGTGGAGCAGCCATGCGATTAGGCCACCAAGAGATCGGGTCGGTAAGCGTGACTGTTACGCGTACATACCTCTCTAGGCGACACGCATGCGCCGTGGAAAGCTCGTAAATTAGGTTGGTACGGTTCGCAGATACGAGGCAGACTGACGGACATTTCGAGGACTACAGGACTGACAGCAAGGGTGTAGCGATACATGCTGGACCTGCATTTTATGCAGAGTGTTACGGAGCGGGTAGAGAATGAAACGTTCCGTATCGGCGCGGTTGCGGTAACATCATGTTTCTAACAACGCCGAGGGTAACCATGATGTCGCGGCTATTCAAGACAATCGTTGGATCTTCTGTGAGCTTCTTTAGCTTGGAGGAATCGCCGAGTGAGAGCATATCCTCTCAAAAGAACGTCTGACTGGTGTTCAAGACGTTTGAGCCATGCGCAGAGGGGAGGAGCTTCAGCATCCGCAAACGCCCCAGATTAGTGCCACCCTAACACTCTGCCCGTTCACATCACTTCCATTCTCCATGGCCACCGAAACAATACTTTCTCTCATAGATCTTATCTCTTGGCAAAATCTTAAAACCTCAATCGCGTTGGTCTCCGCTCGCTTATGGCCAGGCAGACATCAAGGCGCAAACGTTCAGGAATCCTTCTCCTGATGACATTATCAAGCCTTCTGCGGATTCCTCGCTCCATTCGGCCCACCTGCTCCGCGGCATCCCTGTGGAATAATCAGATTGTGGCTTTGTTGACGTGTCGGCGATGAAGAGCGCGCAGCCGCAATATGTACTGTGTACTCGGGTCCGCCAGTCTGGTCGACTAGACAGTGACGGGATGCAGATCCAATGCTGCTGCTATTCTGAGTAACAGCGCATCCCCTCGTCATCTGAGCAGGCAACAGGCAAGGTTTGAGGTTTACAATGCTGAAGAGGGCGATTGACTTGGCTTCGATGTGATGTTTTGGTAATTGCAAAGGAGTTGCGCATAAAGCGCGGTACTCTAACACTTCTGATGCCCTCGCAAGGATGGCAAGCAGAGCAAAGACGTTCCAATATGCTGGATAGAATGAACGACTGTGCTTGACAAGAACCAATTCGAATGCACCGCAATTGTAAGTTTCAACACATGATTCTCACGATGCACTACAACGACATATTGTGCATCAACCCACTGCCTCCCAACCACACCATTACAATCTCCACACTGCATGCGCGTCCACCACGTACATAAAACCCCCGGCCAGGCATACTCAAGGCAACAACACTCATAGTCCCGCAGTCAAGGACCCATCCCCACAGGACGGATATGGGCGATCTCCACGGACCGTGCGCAGGTACCTGACCATGACAACGGTACCGCGAGAAGCGGTCAGTTCCACGAGACCGTAGTACGCAGGGGTATGTGGATATCGACGCGGGCGAGGAAGCCATGCAGAACGGGTGAGGTCGCCATGCAGCCACGGGCCAGGCCCCGAAACTCCTTGTACCTATAATGATGGCGGTGTTACTATAGCGCGACCACGACTCAACGCCATCGAACAAAACACAGGATAAAACGTATGTACCTTCACAAAATAGGCGAAAAAGGTCCGCCCAGTTAACCTTGGAACAGAAAAGTCGTTCGAGAAGGACAAGTCTAGCATTGTGGTTGGCGGGAGAATACGGGAAATCGAGGCTGTGCAGACGACCTAAGCGAATCATAGTGATCCGTTTCGGGGATCGGGGGAACACTTCACATGACATTATGTGCATAACAGGCTTTTGGCTGCAAACTAGGCAGAAGGGCAAAAGGGGAGAGTGGAACAATACAGTGTGACGACGGTGGTGGATTACTATTACTGAGATATTTGTCTTACCGTTCTTGCTGTTCACTAAAAATTCCAAGAGTCTTGTTAGTGACCCTGCTTTGTGCGCATATGCGTGACGATGCTGCCAGCCAGCCCTATTGCATGCACTATGGCGTTCGTTTGCACAGCCTCAATAGTGGTAAGAAGGATCGTATGGGTACCGCGGGTCGTGATATGTCGGCGACGATGCATGTGTCGGGTATGGCTGGTGGTCACTCAAGGCCCTAGATCTAGGGGGACTCGACACCGAATGATGGTTCGCTCGGGCCGTGGAGGCTGTGTAGGATGAACCGTAAGCCATCATTTGTTGCTCGCTCTCTGGATATTGGTTGTAGCCATAGTATGGTGATGTTTGCATACCGCCGGTGACCGGTGAATGCGTATGCATTGGCATAGTTGGCTGCATTGTTGGCGTTGTCCATTGTGACGAGGATGATGCATAAGGAGTATTCGAGCCTAGTACCGGTGGCTGAGTCAACGCGAACTGCGGCATTGTGGGCGTCGTGTGATACATGTCCGGGGCTGTCATCGCGAAGGGCATGTTGTAGTCTTGGGCCGTTGACCAGGTAGCATACGCATCATTGTCTATGCTAGACCAAGAATGGCGGCTTCTTGATGTGGTGGGGTGTGTGGGTGCTGAAAGTAGATTGTACATGTTTGGCGCAGAGAATAGATAGTCATCGTCTTCGGGATAGCTTGATATCGCCGGTGTGCTAGACTCGGAGGGAGAACTTGCTGCATCTGGGAGGTGTATGCCTTGATTTCGGTATCGTCGGACCAGAACAGTGTATCTTGGGAGCATTAGTAACGAGACCAACACCGAGTAAGGTGAATTACCGATTCTTGATACAATTCTTCGATCGCCCAGGGAAGTGTTCGCGTTGTATGTCTTTCCAATGTCGACCGAGACGTTTGGTTGCATCGATAAGAGTCGTATCCTGTAGTCCCACAATCAGTTGGCTACATGGATATCGGAATGTATATGGAAGCGACTGACTTCGGCTTCGAGCCACTCGCTGCGGTCCAAGTCAGGATCGAGTGATTGCTGCCACCGTTTTGCACATTCTGGTGGAGGTTAGCGACTCGGTAGTCATACAAATGGTATTGATATTTCTTACGGTCGGCGCTCCTGGATATAACGTAGTTCGCGACCACTGTCCATCTATACGGCTTGTTAATTAGGCCACGTCGAAGGAGGGCTATTGTTCACTTCTGTCCATGCTCCTCCACACCGCGAATAAGCAAGTCATCTTCACTTTTTGACCATTGTCCTTTCTTCAATCCTCCAGCAACTGAATTGTGCCACCTTTTTCGGCAATCTTTGTTCGTTCGACCCGGGAGTTGATCGGCGACACGGCACCTATGCAACGCGTTAGACATCTCGCGTTGGATGCGGCATATGGACGGACATACCAATCTCGAACATCGCCATCCTCCACTAAGAGGGCATTTAGCACGATATTCATATGGTCTTGAAGATTACCCATCTAAGCATCCATCGAAGGGACGGGGAATACGTGACGGAGTAACAAGGAAGATCCACAGCGACATACGTTGAGCCTCAACTTCGAATCGAAGTATCTGATCTTCTGTTTCAGTCCACTTTCGAGGTTGGCGGCTTGATGAGTCCATCGGTGAGGGTCTATGTCTCGGAAAGAATTGTTCTTTGGGCGCAAGGTAGATCGGCTTGAGACACTTCTCACTATAGAGGACAAGCCAACAACTGGAAGAGCAGATTGATGTATGATCGCGGGAATACAGTTTCAAGTGAGAATGATGACGATGTTCCAGAGCAAGAGCTGGAGCAGACTAACTAGAAGTGACAGACTTGGAAGTAGTCCGATGAGCAAACGTGAAGACGGAGTACCCATGCCTGGTATTAAGCCGGGAGTCAGCCTGAGAGGAACATTCTCTTGGCTCTTTTACTCCCTTGCGACTAGTTACGCGTAGAACCACGTTTGCTTTAAGCTTAGCCAGACGTTAGAGAGCACCCGCAGTGCCCCTGCCTTACTAGAACAGGAAATGCGCGAACTGACAAGCGCAAAGTATTAGCAGCGGTCGATATGTTTCATGCACGTTGACGAGGATGTTCGACTTGACGCGTGCGTTGAGCACTAATGCGTCGTACGACGGGCCGTTGGACATGTGTACAGCCCCAATGTGCTCGGGACAAGGCTAGATCCCTGCAACTTCTGGTGTGGAAGGCTGCATAGACCATACACACCGCTAGAGCCGGGCAGAACGCCATATTTTGAACAAAGACATAAGCCTACCCGCGTACAAGGAAAATGGCGATCTCTTCAGGAACATTAGATGTCGGTTGTGCTCTTATGGCTCGTGCCGTGCGCGCTAGAAGCATTCAGATCGATACCTTCACACATTCTCGCGCCGAATCTCAGCAAAAAGTTGAAAACCTTCGAGTTCCTTAAGCTTTTGAATGCGCTCCAATTTTTGCGTGAGAAGCGAAGAAGCGCTTGAAGCGGGTAAGATGACAGCATGACTAGTCTTGCCTACAATGCCAGAGGTGGCGGAGTCTCTCACCTTCACATTATCTATCAAGCTTGTCCATAGAAATGACTCGTGACTGACTTTGGTGGTGTGGCATTCACCGGAACATTCTACGCGTATTCTACACATCTGCCGCTTCGTCAATGGCGAGTAGCGGACAATATGCCCTGTCAGAGGCACACACTGACG